GAGTGGAAACGCTATTCGGACTTCGAGAATGAGTTCATTGAAGCTGCACAGCAACGAAAAGAGGACACCGTTGAACTGAATGACTACGCCATTCACTTCAAATATAATGTGCAAGTGAATAAGCAGGATCGAAACAAGCAGAGACCGGTGAAACGTGAATCAGTCGAAGTTAGAAGCTATGTCAGAGAAGGAAGATTCTACTTCGCAGAGAGGGTGTGGGTGTGGGTGTGGGGTTGTGTGTGGGTGTGAGCATGTGGGTGAGTATGTGGGAGTGTGGGTGTGAGTGAGTGTCGATGAGTATGGGTGTGGATGTCTCTACATATCTTATCCCCACTCACACCTACACCCACACCATTTTCTAGTAGAAAAATTTTGAAAACCATGATCTCGAGAGGTTGCTGACTTTATTACTTTACAATCCGTCTCCTTTCCAACTTACTCCATTTTCTGAAACGAAAGAACGAAAAAAATTACTCTTGTTTTTTATGCTACCATGTGTCAACGATGAAAATTGTTGTTTTTTTCGATCAATTGTAAGAAGGAAGAAAGAACAACTACTGCATATAGATCGTTTTGTATTTGTCTATCTTTACAAACGATGCAAAATAATATCGAACAATTTATTCTTGTCTGTCTTGATTCTTCATTGGATCATTTAGTTGATCATCTTGAACAATTTAGACGTCTAATAAGTTGTGTACAACACTTCAATGATGCAAATTCTTGTATGGATTATATTACAAATATTAAAAATGAAACAGCTCTTCTCATTATATCAGTTGAACATACTCAAATAATACCATTTATCTATCATATACAACAAATTTATTCGATTTACATTTTCAATTTCAATCAATGTGAACAAATAAGTGAAGATACATTAAATTATCGAAAAGTTCGAGGCCATTTCGACACAATCGATAAATTAGTTAAACAAATAGCATACGATAAAAAATGGATAGCGTCGAATCTTTTAACAATAAACAGTTTTCCAGCATGTACTCTAGGATCTTATGATATGAGTGATCATATAAACAATAACAATATTCAAGAAGCAACATTCATGTATTCTCAAATTCTACGTAGTATTTTTGTTAATGAAACCTATAAAGATATTGATAAAAATGAGATGATTGAATTTTTTCGACAACAATATAACGAGAATGAAACAGAGTTGGAAAAAATCAACAAATTTGAACGTGAATATACAACTGAACGTGCTATCTATTGGTATACTATCGATGGATTTCTTTATCGTACAATTAATAAAGCTTTACGAACACAAAACATTTTGATACTTTATCAATTGCGTTATTTTATTAAAGATCTTCATTTAGAACTGAAGAAATATCATTCAAAACAATCTTCGAATTTATCGAAAGAAACATTAATTGTTTATCGAGGAATTGGACTACCAAATAATGAATTTGAAAAATTAAAACAAGGTCATTTGATATCTTTTAGTGAATTTTTATCAACAAGCAAAAATCGAGAATTAGCAGAAATCTATGTTCAACGTGGATTCGATGATATGCAATCAATTCTATTCGAAATCGAATTAAATTATACAATTCAATCATCAACTCCATTTGCTGATATATCTGAACAGAGTCAATTCGATTTAGAAGAAGAAATTCTTCTATCAATGGGTAGTGTTTTTCGAATTCAATCTTTAACTCTTACTTCAGACAATAATTGGAATATAAAACTGATGCAAACTTCAGACGAAGATCAACAATTGAAATTATTATATCAATGGTTAGATCAAGCTATATTTCGAGTCAATCATCTATATACAAAATTAAGTTCACTCATGTTATTTATCTATGATTATGATAAAGCAGAATTTTTCTTGAGAAAAGTAGTGTCTCAGCCCGGTTTCAATCAAGATATTGAAACAATTAGTGCAACATCATCGATTTTCGGTGAAATATATTTTCATCAAAAGAAATATGAATATGCAGTTATGTTATATCAGAAAACAATTGAATTATTTGAGCAACATCCAAACAAAAGTGTTCCATCTACTATACAAAGATGTTATACAGGTCTCAGTGAAATCTATTTAGAAGAAGAACAATATATGAAAGGTATGAACGAAATAAAATCTTTAGTATGAATTTTTTTTTCGAATCGATATATTTTTTTTCCTATATGCTTAAATGATTCGAATTGACTCTTTAAGAACATTTGGATGAGCATGTGAGATGAGTAGCTAGATGGGTGTTCTTTTCATTCACCCACTCATACTCATATTCTCAGTTTAGAAAATCAAACTATCATCAAACGTCATGCAATGATAAAATATGTACAGCTAAAGATCTACTTTCGTACATTTTCAATCTGAATTTATCATTGAATACTGCGTAAATCTATTAACTACAATGAAATATTCGAATATTCGTATAGTATATAATTAGTCGAGTCTAATTATGAAGCGCTAACTTCATATTTCCTATTTTTCATGATCATACTTTTATCAACGTCACGAGCATAAAATTAGTCTCCAATTGAGCCAGTCGAATTGGTCTCATACCTGAACTCAGTTGGATTTCACATCCGAAAAAGTTTGAACGAGATGAAACCTAATCGTATGGAAAATGTGCATTTTGCGCTAGTCATCAAATGCAAAAAATTGAAAAATGGTATCTCATATCTTTGGATCGACTATCAATTTCTAATTAAATCTCTCCCCGCAATAGAAGGCCTTCCTCAGAGGAACAATGCGGTGATCGTAAAATCGTCCTAAATTAATTAATTTTTCGAAAAATTGGAAGTTTAAATTAGTATATTTATGTTAAAATATGTCTACTTTTCAGGGTTTTGAACTGAAAATCTTAAAAGACTGAAATCAATATTATTTCTGGGCTTGAAAATCTCTTTTCAAATCCTTAAAAATTGGTTTTTTTCCTAAATTATGAAAAAAGATTGGAATACAATAGAAGATCCATCTTGAAAACTTTGTATGCTTAGGTATAAGAGAAGCCTCGGGATATGCTATTGTGCCATGTAGTTTAGAAGATTTCATTGAGAATATCAAAGTCTAGTTCGACCGTGTCCGAAAATTGTGGATCCGATAGACTCTAGTCTGCCAGGACACCATACAAATAAACACACCATGTTCATTACGACGAACTAGTAATTTCGAACAAAATTCAATCTCAAAAATGGGTTTTTGAGCATTGAATTATTTACTTGGAAAAACTTCGATATTTCATGAGATTGTAAAATGAATTCTATATCGAAGTACATCATTGAAAAGATCATAAAAGACTGCATCAAATAAAATCTCTGAGTGCAAACTAAAGTTTCTTCTATAGATTTGAAAAACAAACTATTGAATAGTGGAACTACCTAATTGTACTATTATGAACAACATGTCTCTAACTTTAATGTATTGAAATCTTTCCAATTATTGCACTAAACATGGTATCGAACACGAAAAATCTAAACAATCCAGGAAAGTTTTTGATAAATATCACACTCATTGCGTATTCTAGGCATAAATTGACGATGATTTGCTTCCACAAAAATGTGCTAGATCGTTTAGGTTTTTCGTGTTTGATGCCATGTTTAGTGCAATAGCTACAAAGGTTTCAATACATCATAGAGACCAATCATCGTAATAGAAAAACTAGCTAATTTTATTATTAAATAAAAATTCCACTGGAGTTTCTACAAAGAACTTTGAATTAAACTCAAATTTTTCATTTAATGTGCAACCTTTTATGATTATTTCACAATATAACTGATGGATTCAATCTTTTGAAATTCTACAAAATTATGCATAACATCTTAATCGCTTACAATTTATCGAATAAATTAGATTAGATCTGCATATCTGATACACATACACACACACACACATTTTACCTTGTCTCATGTAGAACACACCATATTTTGTGAATATAAACATTGATCGCATCAATTTAAGATCAATATTAAATCGTGATTATGTTAATTTCCCTGTCTTTTTCAGCTTTAGAATATAGTCAAAAATCCCTTAATATAATACTTTCGGACGATTATATGAAAACAATCGGTCTTCTATTAGCTACACGTTATAATAATATTGGATACATATATTATAAACTCGGTAATGTCGAACAAGCATTCAATTTTATTCAGAAGGCATTAGATTATACGAAATCTCTTCCATCAAATATTCCGATAATATCAAGAATTTTTTGTAATCTAGCAATGACTTATGAACAATGTACAGATTATTCCAGATCAGAAGAATACTGGAAAAAAGGTCTTGAACATCATCTTAAATCAATGCCAAATAATACAAATGCAACCGCTTTTCTCTTTCAAGCTGTCGCTGTTAATTTGACTGATCATAAAAAATATAATGAATCAATAGAATATCTTAAAAGATCATTGACAACTTGTAAGAATCAAGGACAACACGCATTATGTTGTTGCTATAAAAATTTAGCTATTGCCTATCATGGTCTAGAAGATTATCAGCAAGCTGCAGAATATTTGCAAAAAGCAATCGATATTGCACAAACTTTGCCAAATGTTGATCTAAGTACTATGTATATCGATAGTGGTAATAACCACTATCAAGCTAAGAATTATGAACAAGCACTAATTGCTTATAGTAAAGCATTGGAATTTTCACAACCAACGTCCAAACTTTCGATACATGTAAAGATTTTTATGATTTACACAATACAAAATGAACCAAATCGTGCATTGAACTATTATGAACTTCATATACAATCACATATTACAAAAATAAATCTAAATGATCATATTCTAATTTATTATCATATTGGAGTGAACTATTATTATCTAAAAGATAATGATCAAGCATTACGATATCTCAAAATGGCACAAGAATTAATTTTATCGAATAAATTAAATATGTCATTGAATTCATTTTTAATAGATATATTGAAAAAACTTGCATCCATTTCTGTTAAACAAGATCAATGGTCTGAAGCAGCTACTTTGTATACGAAACTATTAGAGTATCATCCAACTGCAGAAACTTATATGAATATCGGTTTACTCGATATTAAACGAGAAAATTTTCAAAATGGAATAGAAAATTTAAAGAAAGCATTTGAATTAGCGAAAGCTGCTAATGATTTATCAACACTGGCTATTGTGACACGATACATTGATTCATTCAGTAGAAAAGTAAACTAGAACGTATCATAATAATTAACGTCAGTAAATATCTTCTTGATTAATCATTTCGAACAAAATTCTTCTTGTACTGAATTTTCGACATCTGACGACCGATTTTACTTTATGTTTCATTCGTTTTAAATTGAACAGAATAAAAAAGATTCTTCAATTGCTGAGATGTAAGTGAAGTTACCAACCGATTCGAAGAATTCCAGTAGCGATTCGTCCAACATAGGGTTCCAAGTATCTTTCGCAATTTTTCAAGTCGAATTTGACATGCCCTATCAAATGATGAAATCAGATTTAACATATCTGATACCATAGTCTCAGAAATTGTAAAATACTGGTTTTTCACCACAGATAATAGGGAACCTATGGAATATTTTCAACGGTGATTCAACTGTGGGTGCCAGTGTGAATACGAGGTGTGGGTGTCTCCTTAATCTACAACTAACGCATACACCCAAACCCAGACCCAAGCCGACATCCACACCAGGTCTGCAAACTCTGAATTTTCAAATGAGATATATCAAATATCAAGTAAATTATAGTTAAAGTACAATTTTTTTATAATTTGGTGCATCATTGTTGTACATAACTTAGGATGTGGGTGTGTGGGTGTGGATATGGGTGTGAGTATTTTTTTATCAGCATTGACTGACACCCACACCCTCTATGAACTAGTTGTATAATTGTGATAGGTATTAGCTTTTTCTGAACTTAAAATTAACACTAATACAAAAGTATTAAATGAATTGTTTAATTTTAATACAAAAGTATTAGAATTTTCTTAACACTAATGCTAAGCCGGCACCCCTAGCAGTAACAATTGGGGCTAAGAATCTTCTGAACTTTTCTTAGCTCCAACAGTAGTAAACTCGCTTCCTAGTTTGAGAACCACTAGTCTCTCTTCAATAAATATTCATTTCTGTAATGACAATAAGTCTTAAAAAATTGTGGCCCAATTGTTTCAATTGCCTATTGTTGCCCAATCCTCAGAATTGTTTAGTTGGGCAACGGTCCAATAGTGAAAAATTTCTGGCTACACCACTGATTCGGTTCATGCATGATTTCTGCAGATGGTGGCTGACATTTTTGTAAAATGATAGTTCTTGAAAAAGGCTCAATTTTGCAAAAATTTCGTGTTTCAAACTTTTTTGATTAAAGAGTCAAGAATGGATCCAAAAATGTTTCTTAAAGCTGATATCGATAGAGTTTTTGATGTGCTACATTTTGATGTATTTGTTCTTCAAATTTGACCCATGTGGCTTAAAATAATTGAGAAATACAGACTTTTCAAGTTGCAAAAAGCGTTGCAAGAACCTTCTTAGAGGTGTTTGCTTTTTAGTTCTTCCTCCGTTTCAGATTCGTTCTGGAAAAATATGTCTCATACAAAATTTGTAGTTCAGGCTTTGCTCTTTCTAACAAAAAAAAAATTGAGTGATTCAGAAGCTGGTAATATGGTCTAACAGAATTTGACATTTGTACAAAGACTTTTGCATCGCTCATTATTTATTAGGTAAAAAAGATTTGTCAAAAGCTCTTAAATCAGATGAAGAATACTCTTTAAAAAGAAAAGGTGTTCACTGATTCTGTCTATTTGTTAATTAGTTGTGTTTTGTGATGCCATACAATGCGAGTGATTAGTATACTGGAACTAAAATTTAAAACTAACGGGCATCTCGTAATAAAAGAGGCTCTCAGTGTTTTGTTAATATCTTATGCGTTATCTTATCGCTCACGTTTTATTTTTTTATCGAAAGATTTATCGTCTGATTCTGCCGCTATTGGTATATTTCGCTGTAAAAAACACTTATCTCTTTTTCAACATCATCGTGATTTAAAACAAGCATTACATACAACTTTCAAAGTCTTCATTTTTTTCAATTATTTTCCAAAATGTCCATTTTCTCAATTAATTCTGTTACTTTGGATATAATTTGTTCGCCACTCAAGAGATAAATTGGTTCATTTCAATAAACGTACCAAAGACAATTTATTTTATTGTTGAATAAAAAATATGGCACGACCAATAATAATAAGACTAATCTAAGGACTGGATGTTTTCGGAAAAAATTGAAAAACAGAGATTTTGAAAGTTGTCTGTAGTGCTGTTTTTAAATCGTGGTGATGTCGAAAGAGAAAGAAATAAGTATTTTTACAACGAAATATGCAATTTGTGCAGAAGCAGACGGTGAATCTTTTGATAAAAAAATAAAGCGTGAGCGATAAGATAATGCATAAGATGTTAACAAAATACTGAGACTCTCTTTTATTACGAGCTATCCGTTAGTTTCATATCATAAACATACTTTCTGCTGTCTTTCTGCTTTTCGGACTTCAAAAGGTGGCAGCACTGATACCCACACCCACACCCACACTGTTACAAGCACGTTGTTCACATACCTTCACATCGCTTCAGCTGTTATTGTCCATTTTCTCTCTGTTCGTCTTTGGCATTCGCTTCTTGTCTCTGTTCTGTTTTCGTTCTCCTTGTTTACATTCTTTGATTCTTTTTTTCTCTCACCGCGATGCTTTCTATCTTGGGTCAGGTCATTTGAAATAAAACTGAACTAAAAGAAGAAGCAAAAGGGACCTCTGATACACACCCATACCCAACTCGTTAAACAACTTAGTAATTTCAATTTGTAAATTTTTAGATCTTTTGTGCCTGTAAACTAATTAAATCTTAGCTGCAATATGGAAAAAGCTGATCGCAATAGAAGTCTAGTGGACTTCTATTCTGTGGGGGAGGTTCATTCGAATAACTCGGTCTTTCTCTTCTTTTTCAAGAGACAAGAGAAAGTTTCTATATTACTTTTAAAAATTTGTTTGCTATGGTTGCTCTCGTTGAGGATTAATAAATTACATTTAGTTATTTTAGTGATAAAATATGACTTTTAGCAAAGGCAATTTAAAAAAAATCTAAAATTGATGCTTATCGCAGCAAAATTTATTTATAGAAATCTGTTCTATGTCATCAACTTATATTTAAATGAAATGTTTTTTTGTCGAATCAACATTGTAGAAAAACAAAAGAATATTCTCATACTACTTGTACTCTTTTTACACAGATAATATAATAAAGCTTTTTTCTTCTTCCTTTTATAGGTGTTATATCTGCACTTGAAGAATAATGGTTGGAAAATACCAACTGGCTATATAAAGATTTGTTGACGATCGCATCCAGAAGATAAAAATTATTCATTATAAATGGCGACAACAGTAACTGATGGAAGTCGTGCCTTATTATCCGGTAGTACTGCTGAAGGTCAAACGTATGCACGTCATTTAGCGAATCAGAATATTCAAGACATTGACATTCTTCTCCATTGTGGTTCAGTAAAATCCGAGAAGAATCTTATTAAAACACATGTTCCCGGTTTTGTTCGAATCAAATTTGACGATGAAATAGAAGCCACTGGTAGTGTCCAGTTCACATCTGAAGAAGATACTAATGGCATTCGTTGTCTGAACGGATTCAAACTGAAACAAGGACATTGTACAATTGAACCATCAAGTGAAAAAAAAATTGGTGCTCCTTTATCATATGTCAGCCGATCAGGTCAAACCTCGTCTGATTCGTCTGATGCAGCTGCTGCACAAAAACTTGAATATCAAACAATTGACATTAGTAAACAATTTCGAGAAGCTCTTATAAACACAGAAAATCAACGTTATCAGTTCAACTTTGATACAGTAAGAAATAACTATGTATTGTTCTCTCGTGGTGTATGTCAGTCAATATCTGAATATGCTATACCATTGTATCGTACACCGCATAGTGCAAATATGTTTGAAGAAGAGAACATTAATGAGCAAACATTTCGTGATCTATTTACTTTAGTAGGTCCTGCCTATGATTATAATCTACCGAAAATGACTCGTGATAGAATTGCAGCTCTATTAGATTTTTATGATAAATATAAACAAGTTGGAAATCCTAAAAGCATTGTTGATATGGCAGATTATTTTCAATCCTGTGCACCTGTGGACATGGATTTTGTACCATCTCTACAACTTAAATTTTGGCCGAGTGATGTTCATTCATTTCTCGAGAGAATAAAAAAGAATCGTCCAGAAATTTACAAATTTATCAAAGACAAAATATCGATGCATGTTATTCCCAAATGGTCAACAAAAACGGCGAAATGTGATCGTGAACTCGAGTTTCGTTATTCATTTTCAGCAATTGAATTATATTTAGCACAACAACGTTCTCATAATGAACAAGTACTCAATGGTATTGCACGAAGTATCTATTACAAATTTTTAAAAGAACACCGTACATCAACTCAACATGTAATACCGTCTTACTTTATTAAAACAACTGTATTGTGGATGTGCGAAATGATGGATTTAAATAATGAAAATCCAGAAACATTAGCAAAGAAATGGATTCAATATGCAATTGATCTATTGAACAAAGGTTATTGTCCACACTATTTTATTGAGAATCTTAATATACTCGAACCATATTCGAGAGAATCTTTAGAGGAAGCTCGAAAGCTTTTATTGAAGGTTGACGTGAATGAAATACATGAAATACAAATGTTTAGTGCTACCAGTCAAAAACTCCATCGTGATGAATACAATAAAAATGTCGCATATTTTTTGAATAATCTAAAGGCATCAGATATTATCAATGCTTTGTATGATTATCGGCGACTTAAAAAAAACTGGCCTAGATTAACTTCTGATTTGATTATTGATGATGATGAAGAGGATATGGGCGCAACTTTTACAATTCTTAACATATTACGGGCCTTGGATGGTGATTATGACAATTGGCACAAATTTCGAAAAATATTCTTAGAATCTCGACCTTCTTTTCCTCCGATTTGGGGTAAAGAAGTGAACGCAGACAGTACAATTCAGTTTACCAAAGGTTTACTTAGCATTGGTATTATCCTAACATTGATGAATGAAAATATATCATCGAATAATATATTATCTGCGCAAGGTGTACCTTGTAATATAGAAGATTTTAAAAATTATCAAAATGTTATTCATCAATATTTAAATCCTAAAACACTTTATTCTAATATGCAATCGACATATTCTTATTTTTATAATCAATCTATATCAGCATTTGAAAGACGAAAATTGACTGATTATCATCCATACGGACCAGAAATGACACATGATCCAACAAAAATAGAAAATGGTTTCTACAAAGTCCTGATGGATTTGTGTCGGAATACTGACGATAACAATTTGACATTGAGACAACTTTATCAACGGCAGCAAATGAACAATATAGATGATGATGAATTGATGGCAATTGCTATTCAAATGTCTATGGACGATGCGAAACAATAATACATACAAACATCAATTTATTAGACTTTATAGCTCTTCATTTTATTTAGAGATGATCTGCATAACTATACCAGAAATCTTCTAGTATCAATTCAATGAAACAAAATATTTTATTTGAATGTTGAGGAGTAAATTGAGCCATATATTCAAGGGAGAAAAAGCCGGTTTTGGGATGGGTGTGGGGTGTGGGTATGGGTGGGTGTAGATTCTGTTGAAGAGAAGATCCATACCCACAGCCACACCCTCTCACCCAGACGCACACCTACACCCACACCACACTCACATCCTAGAGTGTGGATATGGATATGAGGAGAAGAATCACACGCACCCACACCCCCTCTTTAGAAAAACTACGGACTAATAGATAAATATGGATGACATGGTCCCATTCCCATGTCTATTAATCAATCACAAATAGGTCTTTATATTAAACTTCATATCCAATTTAGCATCGTTCTGATATAAAAAAAAAAAGACATTATTTTATATCAATACATAGATATGTGTTTCTTATCATTGAATTCATTTATTTTCTTATAATTTTGTCTTCTTGAAAAAGGCAGGTAAAATGGAAAAAAAATTCGTCGATTCAAATGCGATATCAACACAACGTTTCTTGTTTCTTTTTTAAACAAATTTTCGAGACTAAGTACACAAATTAATATCAAAAATCAAGAAATACAGTCCGTTTACCACCAAAAAACTAGGAGAAATGATAGGAATTCGGTGATCGACTCTACTGGCACTATATTTCTCAGTTTTTAGGCCGGAAACAGTGTCTTTTTGGTGGGAACTTGTCTGAATCAGTGATCTGGATAATAAACCAAAATATTAATTTGTCATTATTAAAATAAAAGATTATTATTATTATTTATTTTATGCTGCATTTTCTCATACTAATAGTATCTATTGTTAAGTATTAAAGTAATCAATGGGCTTTCTTGGAAGATACTCATATTTTTATGTTATAATTTACTTTCTTCTTAGACATGTATACATTACAATGAAATCACCTTAGGTGGACACCTCTCTAAAGTGGACACCTCCGTATTATGGACACCTTCTGGTCCGCCCGAACTATTTTTGCTGGAAATGAACCTCTTGAATGTGGATACCTCCTTATTCTGGACTGTGGACACTTTCCTCTGGTCCTTCTGGAGTAAATAACCTCTGTAAAGTGGACACTTGCTTAAGTTCGCTATATTTTTTTTAGTCAATCAGATTCGCACATGTCTGCATGCACCGATTCAATTATCATGATGAATATACCGCAAGGATAAAAGAATAAATAGATAATAACATTGAATGATATTTAAAAATCAGGCAGTAATGAAATAGACTAGTCAGAATAGAACAAAACGAGGATAAACAGGGCAAAAATAACAAGAGAGAGATAAACGACACAGATAAAAAGTAGAGAGAAGGGTGTGGATGTGGGTATGGGGTGGGAGGTATGGGTGTGTGTGTTGGTTTCTACTTTAATCTGCACCCACACCCACTCCTACCCCACACCACACCCATCCCACATCCAATTTTGAAAACTAGCAGGTCTGACCTTGGGATCTGTCCGGCCTTGAGTTGGTCCGATTTCCATCAGACCACTTCAGGGTAGTCCTCTATCGATCATCGATCGTGATTGGCATGTTCTCGACTAAGAAATAATCAAGAAATAATGTAGAAAAAAATTAATATGAAAATATATAAACTTCAAGTGTTCAATCGAGTTGTCTGTATCTGGCTGAGCGTGCAAAACAAAATGGTGAATGAATAGTCAGAAGACAAAACGCGAGAAATTCATATACGAGACATTCTAATTGAGACACCTTTTCGCGATTGAACCGGCGACACTATAACTTGCGATACATAAGTGCGACACATTTTATTTTAGTGTGTTGTTTTGTTATTTTATGAAATTAAAAGCATCTAAACCAACTGATCTGAAAAAGCCTTGGCACATGTGCTATGCACGAATGAAGATTAAAATTATACACTAAACAAATGTAATGTATGTTTTGTTGCTCGTTAGTGTTGGATATTGTTAATGAAAAACAATTCTTGATTTTATGCATTTTATATTGAATGTAAGAACAACAAGAAAAATTTCCAAAGTTCTTTTGCAGTAAAACATAAATATAGTTCATAGATGAATCAATTTAATTGCATTCAGCTAATTTTTTTTGCATTTGATTCATGAAACCTTGATCAGAAAATTTAACATGTTTAGTTAAATTGTCCAATGCTTTTTGGAATTTCGTTTTAGCTTCATCACGTTTACCTGCATTGAGAAGTGCATTTCCCCAATCAATATTGGCTTGTGCCACATCAGCAGCAAGTTGCGGATGTAACACTCTATCATCATTACAAACAATACGTACTTTTGAAAATTTAGATGCCCATTGTTGATGACCTACAACATCTTGACAATAAACATAAATTGCATAAAGTTGTGGTAAATCATGAATCTGAGGTACAACATTTTTTCCGCGCCCACCAGAGGTAATCAAGAATGTTCGTTTATTAACACATTTCTCGCGAATAAATTTTATACATAGATCTTCTTGACCTGCACACATCTGCCATTCAAATGTACCACTAACATCGTCATCAATATCACGTGTTTCTACCACTAAATCATCAAGTGTAACGAATTTAAAACCTTTAAAGGTACTTAAATCAATTGGCTGTGCTGGCGGTAGATAGGGCGTATATGGACTAGGTGCTGTCATTTTATTAGCCAAAGCTGCAGAGTTTGGTGGTGGTGTTGGAGATTTAGTATTATGAGATGTATTACTTCAATGAAGGCCGAAAGCAATGAATATGTCGATATTTTTGCTTGTGTTTGTAGTTAATAATCACTAGCTGTTGCCACTGTAAATTGTGTTTAATTGTAAGGTATTAGTATTCGAAATGAATTTGGGTCTG